TATATATATATATATATATATATAGTATAGCATAGCATAAAATTTATTAACTGCCTCTGTCTATTCAAAGAGACTATTCACAGAGATAACATTTTTGATGTAGCTAGAGCTAGGTTGTTGCCTTAAGATTCCTAAATTTTCAGATTGGCAAAGTATATTATATAGATCTGAAAATTTAATAGACCTCCCCAATAAGCATAGATTGTCAGCTGTACATTTTAAAGACGTCCTACGACATCTAACGTCCGCACAACATCGTATAGACGTTCCACTGACGTCTGTGCTCGTTTGGTTGTTTATTATATATTGCAAACATATTTATCCAAAAAATATTTGCAGTGGATCTATTTAGGCATTTTGAGTGGTTCATAGGAGTTTTGCTCATTGGTTACTTAGTGGACCATTGATGACAGCCGCTAAAAATGGCTAGCCGATAACTTTCCGACATATTAATAGAGGCTAATAAAATAGCCACTTTAGCCACTAATGGCAGCCCCCAAAATTGGCATTTTTCGAGATTACAACTTTATTTAGAATATTATCTAACTTAAATTACACTGTAATTTAGGTTAGATAATGTTTTAAATAGATTATATATTATATCTGTAAATTTAATATAATATATAAATGTCATTTAGACATTTTAACTTTTTTCAAAGTGTCTAGTTGATTCTATTTTTTTAAGTTATAAAAATTTCTTATAACTAAATTTGGATTTACATTAATTGAAACAATGTAATTGCATTTAAATTTGGATTTATATTAATTCAAACAATGTAACTGTATGAGATGAAAGTGATGAAAGAGATGAAATTGAGTGGAGATGAAATTGAGTGGAGATGAAATTGAGTGGAGATGAAATTGAGTGGAGATGAATTGAGTGGAGATGAAATTGAGTGGAGATGAAAGTGATGAAAGAGATGAAATTGAGTGGAGTTGAAAGTGATGAAAGAGATGAAATTGAGTGGAGATGAAATTGAGTGGAGGTGAAATTGAGTGGAGATGAAATTGAGTGGAGATGAAATTGAGTGGAGATGAAATTGAGTGGAGATGAAATTGAGTGGAGATGAAAGTGATGAAAGAGGTGAAATTGAGTGGAGTTGAAAGTGATGAAAGAGATGAAATTGAGTGGAGATGAAAGTGATGAAAGAAATGAAATTGAGTGGAGATGAAAGTATAAATTTTGCACAAGCTTATGATTAAACTTAATAAAAGTTTGGTTTTTAAAAAATGAAAAATAAATTTTTATTGCAAAAAAGTAAAATAAAATTTAACCTGTTTTTTATACTTTTATCTACATATTAAACCTTTATCATATTATGATAAAAAAACTTTTTATAGTGAACGCAACATAAAAAACATACAAAAATAAACTTCTTTTTGTTTTGAATAACCAAAACAAATTTGAAAAATTAGTCGAAATTGTTTAAAAATTTTTTAAAATTAATAAATCTTCATGAACGTGATAAACTGACCTTTATCCACTTGATAAAGTATTTTTATACTTAATTGAAGCAGACTGAGTGCGATCTGTAATATATAAAGAAAACCAATGATTAGCAATACCACGTATTCCGTAGTAGTTTAACTTTTTTATTAGAGTGTTGTGAGCAACCGTATCAAAAGCTTTTTGAAGATCTATGAATACACCACAAGCAAAAGAACCACTGTCAATTGCACTACGAATCATTTCAGTAATGCTAATAAGAGCGCGAGAAGTGGAGTGATTTGAGGGAAACCCAAATTTTCGAATGTGAAAACTAGCAGAAATTTTCAAAAAGTTGTAAATACGAGAATACATAAGTTTTTCTAAAAGTTTGCTGACATTTGATAATAATGAAATAGTTCAGAAAGTACAGGAGAGATATCATTTGCAAGAGCTTTAAAAATTACGTATTGGAATGCTGTTAGGTCCCGAAGCCTTGCTGTCGTTAAGAGAATGAATATTTGATAATACTTCGTTTTTGTCTGTAGGTTTTATGAACATTGAATTAAGATTAGGATTTTTAAGATATTTATTAAAGTCAGTATTGGATGAGTGGATCTTATTCTGTAAATCTTCCGGAACTGAAACAAAGAATGAATTAAAAGATTCCGAAATTTTAATGGGTTCGTATATCATGGAGTTGGTAGAAGATAAGCATGAAAGAGATGAGTTAACTCTCGAACTAATGTTTAAAAGGTTCTTAAAAGCATCCCATGTAGATTTCAAATTTTTGGCATTGTCAGAGAAGAACTTAGAGTAATGGTTCTTTTTATTACGACGGGTGAGAGTAACAAGTAAGTTTCTATATGTTTTATAAGATTTTTCTAGATTGAGTTTGTTATTAGGATTCTTTGCTTTAAGAAATTTGTTAAATATTTTATTTCGCTTTAATAGAAGTCAAGATTCCTCGTGTTATCCAAGGTTTGAGACCCCTTGATAAGCAGCGATTGCTGACTTTTTTTAATGGTGCATGTTTGTCTAAAAGAGAATTGAAACTTGAGAAAAACTCTTCAAATGAATTATTAGTCTTACCTTCGTTGACATTGATTACATTAGTCCAGCTAATTTTCGAGAAATCACTACATAATTCGACGCAATTTATTTGTTTTAAATTTCAACGAAAAATGTGGCTTTTACGAGTATTAATTTTGGTTCTATAAAATGGATGTATTAAAAATTGGGGCAAATGATCTGATACCGTAGAAGTTAAATTACCTGCAAAAATATTTGTAGAAGTTGCATTAGAAAATATGTTATCAATTAGAGTATTGGAATGATTTGTGATTCTTGTTGGCAATGAAATAAAGGGAAGAAAGTTATCAGAGACAGAATTATCTGAGTTTGCTAATAAAAGATCGACATTAAAATCGCCTATTAAAAAAAATAATTTTTTTTTTCCATAGATAGCTTTTCAAAAAGTGGAATTAAATAAGATTTAATAAATTCTAAAATATCCATACTAAGATGGCGATAAATACAGCCAATAATGATGTTTGATTTTTTTAGGAATTATGATTTCCACAAACACAGATTCTAAAAGCTTTGGTTTAAGCATATTAAGATCATATCGAAGTTTGTAAATTAATGTATTCGATATATAAAGTAGAGCTCGGAGTGTGCTCATAAACATAACCGGTAAGATTTAATGGGATAGTTGGAAGAATGTCATTTTTTAGTTTAGTTTCAGTTATGCCAATAATACTGAATTTATAATTAATAAGAGATAAAATTGAGTTTAATTCGTCAAAGTTTTTAACAAGAGAAGCAATATTTAAATGAAAAAGAGAAAAATTATTTTTGTCGATGTTAGAAGAGTTAAAAGCTTCTATGTCCATATATTTACAATTAATAGGGTTTTCTTCAAAGTTTACGTCATTGTCATTGTTGTTATTAAGTTGATGGGAAATAAAATCATTAAGTTCATTATAAAGATTAGACTGTATGGTGTTTGGGAAAGATGATATGTTGTTTTTGAATTCATTAATATGAATCACTTTATCATTTATTGATTGCAGGTGCAGCTCCTTATCTGATAAAGTACTGAATGGAAAAATTTTTTCCCTACATGAAATACACAACCAAGATGTTTTAGAGTTTTTCAATATTCTAAATTCAATATCATTCAGACGACAACATTTTTTATGAAAAAGGTTTAGGCAATGATTACATTGAAGGTAGTGATGGTTTTTAGTAATTTTCTTGAAGCAATCTTTCCAGTGAGTAGACATTTAAGTGGTACAGTTTATAAAATGAAATGATTGAATGAACTGAAATAAGGAAACAAAGAGTAATATATATATATATATTTTTTTTTATTTATTTACACTTTTGCCGATAAAAAAAAATTTACAGTCGTAACTTATAAAAAAAAGACCGGGGCTAGAAGAAGACAAATTTAGTCTTATCATTAAGCCCCAAATATGAACAGCAATATAACCAAAAAGAATAAAAATAATAGTAGTATTTATTAACAATATAAATATAATTCAATTGATAAAATAGTAAAACAAAAATAATATTTGTTTAACAGTTAAAATAAATAATGAAAAAATACTATTAATAAAGTAAAAGAAGAATAACGTAAATATATATTAAAAAAAGTTATAATTGGTTAAATGATAAGTTGTAAGTGTAAAATAAAACAATTTATATTAAAATAATAATAAATTATAAATGATTATAAGTAAATTATAATAAGTTGAAAATATAATAATAAATTATTAAGTTTATACTTAGTATTATAAGTTAATAAGTAAAACTATAGTAACTAAGCTAACAAACTATATAAAATATATAAAAATAATAATAATAATACTAGTAGCAATAATAATTATTATAATAACAATAATAAAAACAATAATAAGTATATATAATAATAAACAATATAAGAAAAAAGAAAAAATTAATGAAAACAAACAAGAAAAGCTAGAAAAAAAAAAAAAATAATAATAATAATAATATTCAAAAATAATAATAATTACATTAAATTAAAATCGTATTTTAAGATAAACAAACTAAATTCTTCTAAAGTTTCACTACAATCTTCTGGCACTACTAATACTTTTTCTTCTTTGTTTTTTCTTCTTTCTTAGTTTACTTAATTCTTCTTTTTTTTTTTTTTTTTTTTCGTTTTTTTTTTTCTTTTCATTTTTTTTTTTTTACTTTTAGTTTGTTTAGCGTAGTGGCTTAGGTTAAAAAATTTCCAAATTAGCGTCCAATTATCTCATTTCAACATAATTGTTTGTATAGGCTGGTTTAGCGTTAATTGACTTCCAACTGACGTCCCCAAAACGAATTATTGAAAAAACAAATTTAGTTGTACATTTGGGCTATCCCTGAATTTCCTCGATTCGGACCAAATAGCGAAAAATTCTTTGTTTCAACTGCGCATGTCACATGGTATGATAATCGTTCTGTTTCTCTGTTTCTTTTTTTAAATTTATATATTCCAGAAAATTTTATAATTACGCTTTACTGTTTATTTGTGCAGTGTATTTGCTTTTCTTATGTTTAGCTTTATATTGATACGTTTCCTTAATTGGAATTCTTTTAGTTTGAAAGCTAAAAGCAATTATAAAACAAAACAAAACAAGAAACAAAAAAAAGTAGTAAACCTTTTAAAAAAATGGATTCAGACGACATATAAATAAAAGGTGATCAAAATCTAACTTTTCCCGGTTTCTCATTAAATAAATATGGTAAAGTTAATATTAAAATATGTTTGATGTAAAATATATATTTTTTCTCTTTAGAATATAGCATAAATATACAATAGAACTAAATGTTAGCTAATAGTAAACAATGCAAAGAACAAAATATAGCAATTTATTATGTGAGCATAGTTGGACATTGTGATTTCATTAATAATTATAGGTGCATGTACGTACTATAAAAACTGTAGCAAAAAATGGGGAGTTATACCAGTGACAACAGTTATTTTATGGATGAATGTTCAAGTGAAAATACTTCTCCATTACACTATCACACTCCCAATCGTTCTACAACTGTAAAGTGTAGATATTTTATGAATAATGGTTATTGTTTTTATGGAGATGCTTGTCAGTTTCTTCATATTTCACCTACGATGAGTAATGGTACTACTCATCAAAGACTAGAAGAAATACACAATTACAGCACTGAAGGTACCTGGAAATTTTTTCTTTATTAAAATTATCCTTAAATACACAAAGATTTTATACATACATACATGCATACATACATACATACATACATACATACATACATACATACATACATACATACATACATACATACATACATATATACAAAGATACATACATACATACATAAATATATACATATATACATACATACATACATACATACATACATACATACATACATACATACATACATACATACATACATACATACATACATACATATACACACACACACACATATATATATATACATATATATATATATATATATATATATATACACATTTTTTTTTCACTTAATTTTTTTTTCATGTTTCTTTTTTTTTTATATTTTTATATTTTGTCTACTTTTATTTATAAATATTTAAATTTAACATTTTACTATAAAATATATTTTTAGCATCTATTTTTTTTTTTTTTTTTTCAATTATTATCAATTATATTTCACAATTTTATTTATTTACAAAACAAATATTTATAGAAATGTATCAGTTATTTAAATAAAAATATAACCCTAACCCAAAAATGTTTTTTATATAAATGATGGAGCTATGCCATTAAAGTAGATCAAATGTTGTTTTATTTAAATGTTTAAGTTTATCAATAGTATTATTGTATACTAAATAATGTTTAAAAAGCAATGATTAGCATCTGATATGATAATGATGATATAAATTATCTAACTTTTCTTAAATCTTAATATATTTCTTAAGATAAAGTTGCTAAAGGTAAACTGTATTTAAATTTGCTTTTGCCATTAATCAAAGTTTAAATCAGTATTCATCAAATAAATTACCAATGTAATTAGTCAAAACCTCTTTTCCTGGATATCTTTTGGATATTTTCCTAGAAAATTTTCTTTGATCACAGCATTAAATTTTTATTTTCAATTATACAAATCATTTTTTTTTTAATATTACATTTCAACTAGTTTTTTAATCTGCCTCTCTAATCTAATCTGCTATTTTCTGTAAAAAAAGTTATCCAAATTAAAGTTATTTGATATTGTGGATTATGGAAACAAACAACAGATAATGGGTATAATTTGTGGTAATACCCATCACTTGCACCTAGTTGTGTCTTGAAAAATCCAACTTTAATCATGTTTAATTATGATCATATTTTTTTTTAAATCACTTTCTTTTCTTTAATATTGACTAAAGAAATTGTCTTTTTGGTACATTATATTACAATATTTCTTTTATATAAAAGAAAAAAAGAGCTTAGGCATACAATTCAAAATTATTGAGTTCTAGAATTATATATAAAATTAAAAGCACATTTAGATTTGCAATCTGATATTGTACTGATTTAGGGAACAGTGAAATTACTTTAATATTTAATTTACTTTAAATGGTTTAGTGGAGTTATTTGTTTTATTGTTATTTTATTTTTAATTAAATTTGCCTTATTTGGTTTAGTTCAAATATTTTTTTTATATTTAATTTTATTTAATTGATAATATTTAGTGTATTTATTAATATATAATTATAGTTGGGTCATTCCATGTCAACTCAACCAGTGATATTCACCACATCATCTCAGATCTTTCTGAAATTTTTAGGGCTTGTAGTACATACAAAGTTAAGCATTTGCTGAAAATTTTAGGCTATTTGATCAAAAACTTTCTGAGATATGATTTTTAAAAGTTTTAAGGGTTGTCGCAAGTTCACGTGACTTTTACATTTTCGCAATATTTAAACGTGAATATTTCAAAAACTAAAACAGGTGACAGGCTGAAATTTTCAGTATTTACTCATTTTTTCATGCTGAGTTGAATGGTGTTTTTATATCAAATGTAGCTTGCATACAATTTCCCCTAAAAATAAACATTGCACTTTAGACAGTTTTCACAAATATTTGACCCAATATAGCCAAAAACCTATAAAACATGGAATGATGTTTGTTATACCATTAATAAGTACCATATATATATTTATTATTTTCATAGAAAATTCATGTTAATCAATAATAGTGTACCCATTATAGGCACTGTTATGCATCACGGTCATCAATTTTTTTGCGCATTGTGACCCCCAGATGACTATGTTAACTGTAATTCACATATTTCATATTATGCACACTTATTAACCTCAGTAAATATTAGCTATGGTGAATATTTAATGTTGGTGTCTTGCCTCCTTGGTGAAAAATCTGCAAGAAATTGAATATTTTCAAATGAATTTTTTAATATTTTATTTAGGTATTTCATATTATTAATATATAATTAATAATTTTTTTTTTTTTAATTATATTTTTTTTAGGTATTTCATTTTTTTAATAGAAAAAATTTATAAACATATACTAAAGGTTTTATTGAGTTATGAGAAAGTAGCATGTAAATTTGTATTTTTTTTGGTTGAATTAGTATGGAATGTTTTTATAAAAATATGTTATCACATTTTTTTTATATTTGATATAAATTCAATATTTACTGAATATGGCTGAACTGCCATTATGCACATTTGGACTGTTGCTTCAAGATGAATGCCACAAGACAGTTCATACACGCAGTGTAGGCTTGCATAACCTGTCAAAATTATCCGATGCTAACTTTGAATCGATGATGTTAAGAACCAAGCCTGTTGATCAATTACAAAGAGAGAACTGCAATATATGCTTCCACCACAAACAGGTTCTACTTGAAAAATTTGACAAATTGCAGCGGAGTTGTTGTGATCTATTAAACATCAATACAAAGTCACAAAGTGACTGAGGGCAGTCAGTATTGACAAAGCCAAGGAGCTAACACTAACAACTAGGAGACACATCAAACCTGGTAAGAAGCTATGCTCAAGCTGTCGAAAGTATGATACATCCCAGGAATCTGAACAGAGTTATGGATATTCAGCTAGTGATACCGATATAGAAGACGTTGACTTGCATCTTTCTCAACTTAAATGACAGTATAACAAGCATTGGCTGCACACCAGTTAAGCTTCATCCAATGCCTGTTCAAACTAGAATTCATATACCAAATGTAAAATTGTAACTGCAACAACAGAGATCCAGAAGAAAGTAAGCAAAGTCATCCAGGTACCTCTTAATCTAGTTGTGAATGAAGGTGATGCTACAGAATGTGATGGTTGCAATGACTTAACGAAACTAGTGACTGAATTAAAGATTAAGTGCAGTTCAGCTTCCAGGCAAGAAAAAATTAAGATAATAACACTAGCACCATTTAGCTGGAGCCAACAAAAAGTCTCACAGGATTTTTGGAGTAACCAGGCACTTCGTTAAGCAAGCGAGAAAACTGAGGAAATCATGTGGAATTTTGGCATACCCACAAAACATGGCAAAGTCCTCCCAGGTGATATGATTGAAAGTGTACATAAATTTTTTTGAAAATGATGGAATTTTTCGTATGTGTCCAGGTCAAAAGGAATTCTTGTCAATCAGAATCAAAAAAAAACAAAAACGTCTTATACTTCTGAATCTCAAGGAGATGCATATAGAATTTAAAAAACGAACTGCAATGAAAATTGGGCTCAGCAATTTTTGTTCACTGTGAACCACCATGGTGCATTACTGTTGACTCGAGTGGTGCCCATGCAATCTGTGTCTGTGAGACTCACCAAAATTTTAAACTTGCAGTTGCAACACTGCCTGTTAGAACTGATTAAAAGGATTTGCTTCTGAAGGTTGTTTGTTTAACTGAGAATCAAGAATGCATGTTGCATCGTTGTTCTATTTGTTCTGGTATTGATGAACTGAAATCATTTCTTGAACAGCTATTTGATGAAGCTGATATAGATTTAGATGACATAATCAATTACAAACAATGGACCCATGATGGTCAGTCAAAGCTGCAATCTGTATGTAAGACTGTTGCTGACTTCATTACTTCACTTTGTACATCCGCTGGTAAAACAACGGATCATCATTTCACTGCCAAGGCACAGTCATCCTACTTATGCCATCTGAAAAAGTATTTGCCAGTTGGAACAGCAGTTGTGTTGCTGGATTTTGCAGAACATTATTCATCTGTCAGGATGCAGTGCAAGGCTTCCACTGGGAAACATCACAGGTCACATTGCATCCATTTGTTGCATATTATCATGAGCTACCCACCAATGACCTATGCTGCTTGTCTCTTTGCATTATAAATGATGACCGTGAACATGTAGCAAGTACAGTCCATGCCTTCATTGAAATAGTGCTGACATTTCTCAGGAGCAAAATGCCTGATTTGCAGAAAATAGTTTACTTCAGTGATGGAGCAGCAGCACAATATAAAAACTGCAAAAACTTAAAGAATCTGTGCATGCATAAAACAGATTTTGGTATTGAAGTGGAGTGGAATTTTTTTGCTACCAGTCATGGAAAAAGTTCTTGTGATGGTATTGGTGGTACAGTAAAGAGGCTAGTGGCAAGGGCAAGTTTGCAGGCAACTCTGCAACATCAAATACTAACGCCACAGATGTACAATTGGGCAACCAAAAATATTCCAGGAATTCACTTCTTTTTTGCAGCAAAAGATGATGTTGAGGTACATTGTAGCTGTTTGGTTGAACGATTTGCTTCAATTCAAACTGCTCCTGGCACAGGGTCATACCACTGGTTTGTGGCAGTAAGTGAAAACAAACTGAAGATATTCAGGTTGTCATGTGATGACTTGGGTATAATTGTCAATATGTCACCAGAACCTGACCTGGCAGTTGAACCGGCACCAAGCATAACAGATTTGCATCTAGGACAGTTTGTGGCTTTTGTTTATGACACTGATTGGTTTATTGGTTGCATAAAAGAATATTCTGATGAACATCAAGATATCTTGGTAAAGTTCATAAACAGAACATCTACAAACAGATTAACTTGGCCACATCGTGAAGATATCTGCTGGATACCATTTACTAATGTACTGTGCAATCTTCCACCACCAATGTTGTCTGGCAGTTCAGTAAGACAGTATTTCTATGATGATGAGCATTTTGACAATTGCAAGTAACTGTTTGATA